ATGGGAACAAGTTACTTTCTCTTTCAAACCTTCTACTCCTTCATTTATAACAAGAGAAGTCTTAAGTATATTGCATATTATTATGGGTTTAAATCAGATGCTATGTATGAAAATCTTGTTGGAATACAACAATAAGTTGGTAAGTATTATTATTTGGTTTTTTGGGGAAGGTGGATATGGAGTTGAAAGAAGAAGAGGAAAGAAAATTGCTATTTAAGGACCAGAGACAAGAGGTAAAGCTGTAGACAGAGATAGGACACGAAAATGCAACATACAAATTCATTGCAGGAATGCTTTTAAATTTGTGCATTAAGTACCTTCCCCATTTTAAGACTCATTCATAGTCAGAAACTGGGTCATCAACTTCAGGAATGTATCATTGGCCCAGGATACTTACTGTTGGGTATGAAAGTGGCAAAGACTAGGATTCACGCTGTACCCACTCTATAGATGTTACAAATGCTGCCATTGCAGCTGCAAGTATTATTCACCTTTTGTTGTGAGTAAACTGAGAGACTCATCATTCCAGTGCCTTCATGATGCACAAATACCTATGATTTGCTCTATAATTAAACCTTAAGCACCTCATTGATCTGCATAGAAACAGGCTGGTGTCAGATTTAGAGCTGAGCACAGAGAAGAGTCTTACATGAGTATATTCATCTGAGAATAATTTTACACTTGTTGTTACGACCATTGCTATGTGTCGAATATGGATGTTATAATTTGGAGTCCCTCTTTTCTCATTTTGGAGTGTAGTGAGGTTGAAATTCCTCTTAAAGAGGAATACTTGAACTTATATAGCAGTCTGTCTGGTTAATATCCTCAGCTTGTTTTCTTGTTTCTAAGGAAATAACATCCTTTTGTTTTCGTTGTTCAGCAGCTACCTCCAGGCATGCAGACCTAGAGGGGCTCCTGACTTACTAACTGTAAAGATGTAGCAGATTCACTCTAAATTTGTGGTTAAAATGATGATGAAAAGGGCATTAGGAAAAGCTGATGAGCTTGTTTTGTTTTTAGTGATTCTTTGCTACAAACTATAATACATTAAGGTGAACTCAGAGCTAACCAAGGTACTGAAAGTTCAAAGAATGGAAAATACTAATACTCCACAGCTATGGAACATTTAATGAATGTAGCCAATGTAGATGCCACTGTAAGGAATAATTTTTGTCACCTAGGAATGCTGTTAGCCCTGCCTATGCAAAACATGTTGTGTGCCCCTTCGTATCATCAGAAAGGTTCTTAGAAATGCAGAGCCCACTGCAGAACTGCTGAATCACTGTGTATATTTGGTAAGATCCCCAGACAACTCATGTGCCCATTAAGGATTGAGAACCACTGCACTAGACATTTAGAATGTCAGACACTCTAAGACAATTATAGAGTCACACAGTGTGGGATCAAATGTAGCTCCATGTACTCCTCATTAGCTGCACACCATTGAATGAGTTTCCTGGGCTCACTAAGCTTTGAGTGCTGCAAATGTGAATTAGAAATATGAGTCCTCCCACCTAGTTGAGTAGTTGTGAAATAATGATGCTGATGAACCTTCAATAGAATGCCAGTTGGCACAATCCTGTTTGTAATACTAACATTATTTTTATTATAGGAAAAGAAATATTACAAATAACTTTTAATATCAATGTAAGAGGTAAGATGAATTTTACAAATGAGCTCCTGCTTTGAAAGCTTACATATACATGTCCCTTATGTCATCTGGCCTGATCTTTGTCTCTGTGACCTCTCATAACTTTGATCTTCTTGACCATTTTTTTCTCATATCCCAACTCATTTGACACTTAACATTTGTCACTGTGCAGTGGCATTTATCTTTTATGACCGTTTTCTTTCCTCCAACAAGATTATAAAGTATCTTGAATAAAGGAGACACTCTGAAAATACTAAAAGATTATGTGCTTAGATTAGAATCCTTTACAAGGATCTGAATAACATTGATTAATATTCCTGGAAAAAGTAGAAAAATAAGTGTTTAAATCAGCAAAACATTGAAATAATTGCATATTTGGAGGAAAAAGTTTTGGTTTCCAGTTGTATCTAGGTAATTGAGAAATAAGCCATTAACTTAAGAAGTACTATTTTCTATATTCAGGGAATAATATTGTCATTGATAAACTATTGAAACTAACCTTTCTACATTTGAGAAATTAACTAACATAATTGTTGGTAGTATTAACTCAGAATCCAAGCAAAGTTTAGTTCTCAGTTTGTGGCTTACAAATTGTGTAATCTTGGTTAAATTAATCAACCTTTTTATTCCTTTGCTTTTTTCCTTTGTAAAACGGGATGAATAATGAAAACTTCATGCTGTTGAAGTTGCAGGAAGTTAATACAGGTCAAATAGTTAGTTCTAATCCTGGCATGTGGTAGGTTCTTTAAAAAAAGCTATAAATGATACAGCATAGTCTTTGCCACCATGGAATGTAGAGTGTGTTGGAAGTAGCAGGCAGTTATGGTAGATGGATGATGCCTACAATAGAAGAAGTAATAATCTATGAAGAAAACTAGAAAAGCCACCTAATCTAGACTTGATGCTACAAAGCAGAGGTGAGATTGATGATAATTATTTTCAGTGTAAGGTAAGGTAAAATCTGAGACATGACCCATATGGAGAAGTTAAAATGGAGAAATATGTAGTTGGCATTCCTATCTGTAGATAATCAGTGTACTCTATCAGCTATCAATAACAATTCAAGTTATAATGAAATGTCATCAGTCTTTGAAAGGGATCTGTCACTGAAATAAACTTAGAATTTTCTATTCTTATAATACAGATAATAAGCAAAAGATTGAAATCCATTCACAAGAGAGTGAATGTATTTAAGTATTTGAAGTTTTGACACTTGTTGAATTTGTCTTGAATCAATCAATACCCTGATTTTTTTTATTAGAACATCTTGGTGTTTGTATATAAATCTAACAAATTTCCACAAATATTCTGTACATGAAATCAATTATAGACTTTACATGAGTACTAAAAAGAGGTCAACTTATCACTACATGCTTTAAATTTTAAAGCATTTCCACTTCTCAGTGAATGGTAGCATTTTGATATAGAGTATATAGGTTCACGCCTATACAATTATTAATATTACTGATAGTATTTGCTATCTAAAATTGAGGATGGATAGTAGGAATTAGAAATCAGTGTTTCTATACTGATAAATTTAACAAAACTAATATAAAATGTATATTTACAATATTATTAATGTGGATTTCAAAGCCCTACTATTTATTTTAGGCACATTTATTGATTGATTTGTGTATACGGTTTGGACTTGGGACTTTTGCACTTGGTAGGCAGGCACTCTACCACTTGAGCCACACCCCATGCCTTTCTTGCTTAGTTATTTTTCAGATAGGGTCCTTACATTTTTCGCCCAGGCCAGCCTAGATTGCTATCCTCCTACATATGCCTCCTGCATAGCTAGGTTTACAGGGTCATTCTACCATGCTCAACTTTTTTGTTGAGATGGAGACTTTCTAATGTTTTGCCTGGGCTGGACTTGAACCTGGATCCTTCCTATGTCCACCTCTCAGGAAGCTGAGATTACAAGTATGGGCCACTTCACTGATGCTTAGGCACACTTATTTTAATAAAATAAAATTCACCGTAAGTTCAACTAGCAATTTGACCTCTTTCTTGCTGTAAAGGTTTTATTTCATTTTGTTGTAAGCCAGTTTCCTCTTCTGAAAACTGGGTAGAATCATGTTCTTTACAATTAGGCTTGTGTATTTTATCTTCTTTAAAGAAACATTAAAATTGAAGCATTGTAGTTTTACCTTTGTGAATGTGTATTAAGATCTAAGGAGGTCCAATTCCTGAATATTATGAAAAGAATATCTGTACAAAATACCTCCTTTAATTATTTCACCAAGAACAGCTTTGCACTTATTTTTCAATATCTAGAAGGTAAACAGCACCAGATTATCTAATTATCACCCACTCCCCAAAAAAGAGGAAAAAGAGAGGCACTTATGCTTGCTAAAAATTAGGTCAAATCACTTGGCCAGAATCATACAATTCACAAATGTTAATATTTGAGTGAGTTCTTCTTTCTATACTATTATAAAATTCCCTCTTTCATTTAGGTTTTCACTCTTAAAAGTTACTTGTAATCAGGCATTAATCAATATTGTAATTGTCATATAAAACCTCACATTGTTATGTGACTTCTGAGTGGAAGATAAGCAAACACTAGTGCATTGTAGACATTTATCTTCCTGTAGCTCTTCAAGCCCATTTTAATGGTCTGTTAGAATGTAAGCTTTGCTCACATTACCACCAAAGGCTGCAGATGTGCTAGTTGTTAGCACAACCTCTGAAATCAGTTCAAATCCAGGCTATGTGACATTGAACAAGTTATTTAATCTCTCTTTGCCTCAGCTGCTTTATCTGTAAAATGGGGATGATAATAATATGTACCTTGCAGGATGACTATAAAACTAAAAAGGGAGAGAGATGCTATAGAAGCACAAACTTCAATACTACATGCAAATAAATAAATTTAACAAAAAGGCTAAATCATAATTCATAAGCATATTTAATCAGGTAACAATTAGCTAATCTCACTGTACCTTAAAGCAGTTTCTCAATATTCATTGTACAACATATTCTTAAAAGGCAATGAAGAAAATTTACTTACTGATATGAGCTATAATGGTAGTTGGGAAAAACTACCAAGAATTGTATAGGGCATGGATATTGCTTTATTTGTCTGTAGATATCTGTGACTAGCAAAGTAATTTACAAGAATAATTTCAGAGCGGAAAAAGTTTGTTTCTACTCCCAAATCAAGGAACCTTCAAATACTCTGCCTTTTTAACATATGGGAAGTGATTAATGCCACGTAACACGTCTCTTTCAATTCAGGAGAATAGTACTTCTATGTGTCTAGACTAAGAAATACTCAATGGTATGATATAAATGATTAGGACTAATTAGCCTTTTCTTTCCTTTTTTTCTTAATAATGCCCAGATTCTTCCAAAGGACCTCAGCCATCTTCAGGTATAAATGGTAACGTGCAGCCTCCCGGCACTGCTGGGCAGCCTCCTGCCTCTGCCATCCCTTCTCCAAGTGCCAGCAAGCCTTGGCGCAGCAAGTCCATGAACGTCAAGCACAGTGCTACTTCCACCATGCTGACCGTGAAGCAGTCAAGCCCAGCCACCTCTCCCACACCATCTTCAGACAGACTTAAGCCACCTGTCTTAGAAGGGGTCAAATCTGCTCCCTCAGGACAAAAATCTATGCTTGAAAAATTCAAGTTAGTTAACACCCGGACTGCATTACGCCCCCCGCAGTCCCCCAGTTTAGGACCTAATGATGGTGGAAAGGATGATGACACCTTTTCCGAATCTGGTGATATGGAATGCTTTAACAGTGGTCTGAATAGTGGTGGCTCAACTAATAGCAGTCCCAAAGTGTCACCTAAATTGGCCCCTCCAAAAGCTGGAAACAAAAATCTGAGCAATAAGAAGTCTTTGCTACAGCCAAAAGAAAAAGAAGAAAAGAACAGAGATAAAAGTAAAGTTTGCACTGAAAAGCCAGCAAAGGAAGACAAGGATCAGGTGACTGAGACAGCTCCAAAAAAGACCTCTAAAATTGCGAGCTTGATTCCAAAGGGCAGCAAGACGACAGCAGCCAAGAAGGAAAGCTTAATTCCATCTTCCAGTGGGATTCCAAAACCAGGCTCAAAAGTGCCAACAGCAAAGCAAACCACTTCACCTGGCAGTTCAGTGAGCAAAGAGTCTGAAAAATTCAGGACTACCAAGGGAAGTCCTTCCCAGTCCTTAACCAAGCCTGTAACCAGTGAGAAAGCAAGCACATCCAGCTGCCCTGCTCCCCTGGAGGGAAGGGAAAGTGGCCACGCTCCTCCCTCTAGTTCCTGTACTGTGCCACCAGCACAGAGTGGTGGACAGAGCACGGGAAATGGTGCAGTCCAACTTCCTCAGCAGCAGCAGCACAGCCACCCGAACATGGCCACAGTGGCTCCATTCATTTACAGGTAAGGAGGCTGTCATATGTCCACATTTATAGGCCTCCATGCTCTGAAAGCATCTTCAAGAAGGCTGCAGAAGTAGTGTTTTAGATGGTCTTTTCAAGTAATGTGTCATTCTGAAGCTAGAAACCTAGAATTTAGTAGGGAATCTTAGCTTGAAAAAAACCTTCCAATATGATCTATACCTCTTCTCACTGAGAAATTGAGACCTTTAAAAATATCTTACTTATTGTCAAAGACAAGGTAGACATTTTTTGTTGTCACCCTTGGGAGAAAGTGTGCCATAATGGTTAAAAAGGCAGCCCTAGGGGCACACAGATAATGAATTTAATCCCCAGCTGTACCACTTACCAGCTACAAGACTTCAGACAAGTTAACATGACACCTTTTAGTCTCATTTTCTTCAGCTGTCAAATAGGAATAATAGTTTGCCTAGTAGAGTCTCAAATATTAACAAAGATAATAGATATAAACATTTTGGTAGACAGTGTGACATTACAGATGTTCACTAAGTATTGTTTTAAGATTATTTCATGTTAAGCATGTTCGCTTACACTGTAATCCCAGCTACTTGGGAGGGGGTGCTATCAGGAAGATCGCAGTTCTAAGCCAGCCAGGCAAATAGTGTATACGCCCCCATCTCTACCAATAGCCAGGCACAGTGGATCACACTTATCACCTCAGCTACACGCGAAGGCATAAATAGGAGGATTGAGATCCAGGCCAGCCCGACATAAAGTGAGACTCTATCTCAACAATAACCAAAGCGAACAGGTTTGGCAGAGTGGTTCAATAGGTAAATAAAGCACCTACCTGAAAAGTGCAAGGCTCTGAGTTCCACACACACTGAGGCACTTACTTGTGAATTTTTTCACAAAGTAAATGTTACATGAATTTCCAACTATGAGGCATAAGTTTCTAGATAAAAAATAATTGCTTATATAATTACCATATTTCTGTTTTATTTGTTTTGTATTTATTCTACTTTGTATTTTATTTTGTATGTATTGAAACACACAATATATGACATATCTAAAAATATGCATCCTGTTACATGGTTGTTAAAGTGGCATACTTTTCCCATTCTGTAATTTGCTTTGATTCATTAGAGAGCTGTCAGTCACTGCTGTGTGTCCCATTTTATTCACTGTCTGGTTAGCAAGGAGCTGACCTAGGGAGGAAGAATGTCCATACAGTTTAAAAACTTGCCAAAGTTATTAAATGTATGGCTTTTTAAAATAAAGCAAATAATTGTATTGTTCCATTTTTCCTTCAGTGAAGAACCTTAGTGTTTCCCGTGGGGCTTTATATGCTCAGCAAAAAAAAAGTATAACTATGACATTTGAGTTCTTGGGACACCTGTATTAGACCTTGCTATTGTTACTTCAATAGCAATGGTACATTTAAAGCCTTTGTATTTGGATGAGATGAGACTGCAGTTCTTTCTGACTTCAGGGTTCCTGTCTCACAAAGCAGAAATTGAGATGTCAACATCATAATCCACATTTCAATAACATAAGAAAAAATTGTGAAGTTTAAAGTATGTCAGCACATTTGAGCACTTCAAATGTATTCTGTAAAAACATCAATCATTTTTTAAAAATCACAAACTAATTTCATAGGAAAGTGCAAATCTTCATCTGCCAATTTAGCAAGTTCCTTTCTGCAAGCTGCAGTGGACTTTTTATCTGTTTCTTGATTGTGATAAAGTATGCACTGAATACACATTTAGTGTTTTCCATTTGAAAATGTAACTTTTTTATTTCATAAGATTAATCCTTATTAAAATCCCAAACAAGTTCTATATTGTTTTTGTCTTTACATGAGAGATAGAGTGCTTTAAATCATTTAAATTTCTTAATTAATAGCTAAAACTATGCATTTGCCATGTACATTATGATGCTTTGAAAATATATACATTATGCAAGACTAAATATAGCTAATTAACAGATGCTTTGCCTCATGTAATTACGATGTTTGTCATAAGAACACTTCTATCCACTCTCAGCGTTTTTTGAGACTCCAATATACTATTATAATTATAACAATACATAGTATATACTATTATTAACTATAGCTAATAATATACATATCTATTATATAGAGTTAATATCTTATTATTAATTATAGTCGCTGTCTTGTACAATAGATGTCTTAAACCTATTCTTCCTGTCTAATTGCAATTTTGTATCCTCTGACCAAAAAAATCCCCTACACTCTCCCCAAAAATCCTTCAAGCCCCTGGTAACCAACATTTGACTCTCTGCCTCTATGAGCCAATTCTTTTAGATTCCACATATGGGGAGGTCAAATGTCGTCTGTCTTTCTGTATCTGGTTTATTTCACTTAACATCCTGTCCTCTGATTCATTCGTGTTGTTGCAAATGACAGCGTTTTTCTCTTTGATGGGTGAATAATCTTCCATTCTGTGTGTTTACCACATTGAAAATGTTAGTTTTACCAAAGAAAAAGAGGAAGGAGAACAGCTTAGAAGTACAAGTGTGGATCCACTGTGGACCCTGACATGTTCTCCATCCACTATGAGTTTCTGATTGCTCTCTTTAAAATGAAGCTTGCAAAAGTGAGGTTTGTGACCAGATAGCTAAGAGTGCAGGCTATAGAATCTGTCTCCTTCCTCATGGCTCAGAAACACTGTCTTGTAGTGATTGAGGCAATAGCCCTCAGAGAAATATTGCTTGAGTTAGAATCTCAGTGTCCCAATGACTAGTCATGCAACCCTGGGTAATATATTTAAAGATACTGAACCTCAAGTTTTCCAATCTGTAAAATGGAGAGAGTAATAATAGAAGCGACCTCATATGACTATTTTGGAGATTGAGTTGATATTTATACAGGGTATATAATATGATCTGTTGCATAATAAACAGCCTTCCCCAAACTTCAATTTCTTATCTTGTAAAAAAAAAAAGTTAAGTAATATCTACCCTACAGTTGTTTTAAAGATTAAAGAAACGATTTTATGTAAATCTTTTAGCACAGAGCCAGATTTGGAGTGAATATTCCTAATTTCAATAATTATCTATATTACTGTCAATAATACAGGGAAGTTTAAGATAAATAAAACAAAAGAAAACTTTAAGAGCTCTGGGATTTGGAGCATGGAACCCCTGGTGTCTTTCTGATTCCCTTGCCCCAACCTCATGTATGCATCCTTCCTACAAAATCTCTGGCAAACTTTTCATTTTATAAGATAATGCTACTATTTTATTATTTTTGTAATGATATTTTCATTTACTGAGTGTTTACTTAGTGGAAGTCTATAACATTTATAGCATTTATGTTTATTCTCTTACTTGAACTTGATCATAAATAAACCCATGAGAAAATGACATTATCCCCATTTTTCAAAGATGGAGAAGTAGAGTTTTAAAGTCAAAATAATAGTGATCTCATAAAGTCACGGAGCTTGTAGGAATTTGCCTATGAACCAAAATCTGATTGACTGCACAAAATTTCCTTTTAGCCTGCTAATCAGTTTTTTTTCTGCATGTATAGAAATAAGAGGTGTTGTCACTTGGAAAATACTGGCTAGGAAGACATCAAGAATGCATTTTTGAAGTCCTCAGTAAGAGCTCATTTACAGGTCAGGTGTGGGAGTGCATGCCCATAATCCCAGTATGATTGGGAGTTGGAGGCAGGATTTGCTAGAGACAGAGGCCAACCTGGACTACACTGGGAGATCCCATCATAAGAATCAAAGAGAGAGAGAGAGAGGAGAAAGGAGGGAGGGGAAAGAGAAAGAAAGAAAACAACCAAACTCATTTATAATGAGAAATAGTTAATTGTTATTAACGAGTATAAAATTAAAAGACAAATGTATGAATTTTACGTATAAACAGACATATAAACATGTATGATATTTAAAGATAATCCATATATTGATGGTTGGTGGTGATTTGTTTTCCTTTGCTCATCCAAATATAGGTTACTAGGTTAACAATTATTCCTTCTAGGACTCTATGCTTCATAAATCTCTTTTTGCAAAGCAAACATTCAGAGTTCTATAAAGATAATGTCGACTTCTGGCAGTTAATGGATGTCATATAATCTAACTTCCCATACAATGCAAGGTATTTTACACTAGATTTTTGTAACTCAGTTATCTCTAAAGAATGATTAAATTATTTGGATTTTTGTTATCTTTACCTACTAATAAGCAGAAACAACTAAGATCAAAAGATGGAGAAATTAAGGTTTTATTAAATTTAACATGATCTTAATATATTAAGTTTATAAGAAGTTCTCCATAACTAGAGCTAATTGAAATTGGAATGGCTGTATGTGTAAGTGAGAAGATATCCACCAGAGGCTGTTTAAGAAATGATAAAATGAACAGTTGCCATAGTTTAGGGAAAAAAAATCACCAAATACTTTTCTACTTATTTATCTACCTCTCATTCTACAAATAGCATATGTTGGGAAGCAATCTGTTGGGGATAATGATGAGAATATAGTTGAACATATAAAACCATTGCTAGTGTGAAAGTATGTACAACATACAGAATTAGTCTAGAAGGAAGAGGGTTTTTTAATGACAGTGTAGCCAATTAATGTCTCACAGAGATGTTAAAATAACAGGTGAACTAGAATTTACCAGGTGGAGAGGAGATGATTGAACCATTTTCCAAATTTGAAATTCTGCAATTTTATAATCCAGGCATGATGAAAAAGATTAATAGATTACTTGCGAAGTGTCATACAAATGCTAATAACTGAATGTGCAATGGGGACTAGATTTGGGATTCATGGCCGTGTGATTTGGAAACAAAAGAAGAAAACCACAGAAAAATTAATCCATGTTATCTTCCCTTTCACCTCTTCAGTCACTGCTTCCTCACATATCCAAGTTTCAGTTGGGCATTTCTTTCCATTTCCTCTCCCCTCTCTTGGCTCAAACCATGTAACCACCGTTCTCACCTACTCCAGGGAGTCTTCCACCTTGCACTTTGGGGCCCTTTGTAATATTATCCTCACACCACAAGCTC